CATGTTCTGCGGCCGCACAGTCTTGTGCGGTCTGCACTTTTCTTCATTCCATATCTGAGCTTCACCAACAGATCTTCAGCCGTAAGGAGAATTCCTCGGTCCGCGCTTTCTTCCGCAGTCGTGGAAATACTTTTGCGGACCGCATTGTTGGTATGTTGCGCCCCTTCTTGCCTTGTGAGCCGGAACACTCCTTTTTGAGTTAGATTTCTTCATTTAAGTCCACATCTCCATCATTCCTGTAGTTCGCACACTTTCATTAGTTTTGAGAACATAAATTAACACTTTCGGACTAAAATGAAAAGAAAAAGGTACTAATAAGTGGTTAAAATCCTATCAGACCCTTGATCTGATGATGTTGGCCGAGCTACCTGGATCAATCAACACATGTTTAACCCGATATTTATTAATAACTACAGATATTACAGTGCATCATTGTGGGGCTGTATAATGTCCTCGACATCTTTGTCGCTGAGCGAGATAACTCCCTCTGGAACGCAATCCCGAGTGCATTTTTCCCTCGTAATAGACACTTTAGTGCGTTTTATCATTGGTCCTTGGGGGACATCGAATCCCCCAATGATCATGTCGATCACGTGTTGAGGCTTCTCTTGTTCTACCTGCTTGTTGGCGTCCCTATTTCGGAAGTGTTTTTTGGCTCGCTCGCTCGCTTAGGAACTCTCAAAGGTGCCCATTATTGAACAATTGAGCAACTTCTTCTCTTAACTGTCGGCAATCTTCGTTCTTATGACCGTGAGTACAGTGATACTTACACATCAAATTAGGATCTCTTTGGGCTGGGTCGGACTGCAATGATCGGGGCCACTAGGTCTCTTTAATGCGTCCTATGGCCGACACGATGCTTGCAGCGTCCACGTTGAAATTGTACTCCGATAATCTTGGTGCTATCCTGCTCCCGAGTGACTTGTCAAACCCGTTCTTGCTCATTAGCCCCCGGTTGCTCGGCTCTAGATCACTTCTCTTCTCGTTCCTAGCTGGGTGATTCCTGGATCCGTTTCCCCTCCGATCCGTGTTGTATGGCTAATATCGATCTCGGAACGGCTATCTTAGATCTATCATCAGTTTTGATGGGGTAAACAGATCCAGAAGGGACCCCGAGTTGGTCGTCTTTGACCCTAATCTTCGATTGGTACCGGTTGTGGACGTTGGCCCAGGTTACCGCTAGGTACTCCACCAAATTTTGTTTTATCTATTGAGAGGCCACGGAACTTTAGGGGTTGAGCTCCTGAGTGAATGCCTGAATAGCCCAATCATCCGCAACTGGTGAAAGATCCATCCGTTCCATTTGGAATTTTGACACAAACTCCCTAAGCATCTCGTTATCCTTTGTTTGACCTTCAAAAGATATGACTTTCTGGTCTCGACCTTGATGGATCTGGGATGGGCCCTTACAAAAGCATCTGCAAGCGTAGCAAACGAGTCAATGGAATTTGGGGTCAAGTTGTGATACCTCATGCCCCCTTGGACAAGGTTTCCCCAAACTATTTCAGCAACACCAACTCGATTTCATCATCTTCCAAGTCGTTCCCTTTGATCGCGCATATATAGGAGGTTACGTGCTAATTTGGATATGTGGTTCCACTATACTTGGGAATGTCAAGCATTCGACACCTCTTCGGGATCCGCTTCGGTGCCGCCCTCGGGGGAAGGGCTTCTGGATAATTTTTTTGGAGTCTGGTCCCTTCAATATCAGAGGTGCTCCCGGGATCTGATTGACCCTGGAGTTGTATGTTTCCACCTTCTTGTTGTTGGCTTCAATCTTTTTCTCACTTGAATCCACCCGTTTTGTTAATGCTTCGAGCATCTTCATTACCTCTGAAGTTTCTCCGGGCTCGGCTTCACCCGGTCTCTCCAGGTATTTCCCTAGGATTGCTCAAGCTTGACCTTGTTAGGGGCGTGGCTTTGGTACTGCAGTTGTACTATTGCCGCTTGTTGAGCCTACAACATTTCGAAAATCAATCGTAGGATCACCCCAACGCCTTCACCTTCTGGCACTTCTCGAGCCGTTTGTCGGGGTCCCCCGCGAAAACTATTTTCGGGATCAGTTGGCAAATTGATATTGATGGCCACCTGCGAGTTAGCATCGACCAGGTCGGCGGCTAGGACACCATTGGGATCGACAGTGGGCACATCGTTATTGGGCACCACATTATTATTTTCGATGTCATGGCCTGACTCAGCATCAACGTTCAAGTGAGCAGACTGAAAGTATGACATTCTTGGGCTAACCTGGAATTAAGATTTCAAAGAACAAGCGTAAAATAGGGTGTGTTATGGAGATTCGTATCAAATCACCACTATTATCCTTGGCCCCACCGTGGGCGCCAAACCGTTTACCCCAAAAATGAGTAACAACAAATTTGTACGCGGTTTAAATGATATGTAGTTAATTCAATACAAATAATTAAGAATAACAGATAAATGAATTAAAGATAAAATAAATGATCAAACCAATTACAATATTATTACCAAGCCTGATCTTAGATTGAATAGTGGAGCTCGTCCTCGATTGGGCCCTCGGTACAAGCTCGGCCGGGTGTCAAGGAAAAAACAAATGAGTAATGCCTTGAACAATAGCTAGAAGACAAAAGTAAACTTTTATTGATTTAAATTGGGTGTTAACATGTGTTAGACTAAAGAAAAACTTTCCCTTTATATAATATGAGAATTTTAGTCCTAGTACAAGTCCAAAAAGGTAAAAATCTTCTTTTCTCGGTAATTGTAGATCTATAATTGATACTGAACAGGATTCGCACCTTAATATCCAGTTGAAGGCGAATATTTTGGCTCCCCATCCGTCATGCATAACCGTTCACTGATCACGCCCAACTATGTCTTATAAAAAGGACAATGCGGTCGTTGCAAATATAATCCGGTTTACAAGTCCGGAGTCGAATCCCACAGAGAACTAAGGTTTAGCTACAGCTGTTCACTATCACCAAGAAGACAAGCTTGAACAATTCCTAACCTATAGATATTAAGATTCTTGTATTTAACTACTTAACTAACAAATTAAAATAGTAAATTAACAACTAAAGATACTGAGGGTTAGAGAAAAGATTAAGGAGGTCTAGAGTTATGATTTCCCCTATTGTCGGAATCCTTCCCGCTATGTCTTCTATAATTTCGCCTAAGTATTCTCTACCGATCATGAGCACTCTTATTACCGTAAATCTCTCCCGAGTAATTACGACAATTTACTAGACGCACTCTCCCGAGCTACGCTAGCTGGCTTTTAATACAGCTCACTTCAGATTGCACCCAAGGCTTCGTTATCCCTAATCCCACCTTTAAACCCTCGGTTATTGATCCCTCATATACTCTGGGAGTGGTGTTGTTCAACAATTACCTAAATATGCACTCTCTCCCGAGTTATGCATACTAAATAGGCACAGCTAATTGAGAGCTCTTCAACCAACCACAATATAAATGTAGTTGAACAAATAGAGAAAAGCTATGGCTCAATTATATAAAAACATAACAAGAATTTATCCTACAAAAGGTTCTATCAAAACTCTAGATAACAAATTAGCTATTCATAATAGTATGTAAAACTACAATACTAAAAATCATAACCAACAATGAAAAATAGGAAGAGGAAGGAAAAAACTCGTAGAAGAATTCTCCGCCTTGCTCCCAATGTGTTCTTGCCTCCAAGGGTGTTGTCTAACCCTAAAGTAGTGTATCCTCGCCTCCTTAGGTCTAATTTGTATCCAAAATATGTCCCCCCTTGTTCTTGGCCGGCCTCCTTTGTTTAATATAGGGTTTAGGACTTAAAATCCCATGTTTTGCACTTTAGTCCCTGAAATTTTCGCTTCCTGCCGCGGTTTTGCCGCGGTCGCGGTGGAACCGCGGCCAAACATGCCCTCTGATTCTTCAGTTGTCCGCGACCATCTTCTACCGCGGTTCTGCCGCGGTCGCGGCAAAACCGAGGTTTTTCACCCTGTTCCTTTTGGAATTTGGAAAAACGTAAAACATGAAAGTTGTATCCCTTTGAGTTAGCTTTCCAACCATATATTGTGGAGCCCAAATGGAGTTCTGAGCAAAAAGTTATGTCTATTTTACTAGACAGTGCGCAATATGCCTCCTCAAGCCTTCGTTCGTACTTAATTATCAAATTTGACCCCCGAACACGATCCCGGCTTAATTCCTTGAGCTTTTACTCAGACTTCAAAGCTTCAAATCACTTAAATTCATTCCATAACATCTATATAGCTCGGAATCACACCTACAAGGCATAAAACACACAATTAGTGCAAAACACTAGCGATTAAAGCGCAAACTCAATTAAAGTGCAGTAAATTTGAGTGTAATAAGCGACTAAAATATGCAATTATAGCCTATCATCAATGGTCTAGACCTATGTTAAAATCTGCATTTTTAAAAAACTCCTCTTGTGGTTATGCTGGACATTAGAGGCTCAACATGCATTCCTATATAACGATGCAGGTCTTATGATCGATCGTTCTATGGAATTTGACTTTCATTATCATAGGTATCCCCATAACTCTTATAACATTCTCCTAGCAACTCCTCCTTTTCAATCATCATATTTTAGTTCTTTATATGTATGTGTTATTTCTTTGTCTGCCATACTATTTTTCTAGAACATAGATTCGAGATATCTAAATTGTCTGCCTTCAAGCTTCGCAATCGCATCTAACCCCACCTCATGTTCAGTCTTTTTATGCTGGTTAAACTGTATATTGTACACGGGTGGGTTTTTTACTTAATTGGGTCGGGTATTTTGGTGTCAGCGCATGGTATATGTAATAAACTATTTAAAATTAAAAAGAAATTACAACTTATAAGTTCTGTTGCCGGAATGAAGCTTCAACGGTGTCCTTAATTTTATTTTTTGAACATTTTTCCAATAGTTGAGTGACTCTACTAAGTACTAATTTGGTCAACTTGAGTGACGACTTAGAGAAATTTACACCAAATTTGTAATGTAAAATGTCATAGGTATTTCTACAATTACATGGACTAATAGCACTTGATAATAATAGGACAAGACTTTCTATTACACCATATGAACATTTAAAAGCAGTACAGAGGTGAGAGACAGTCTTATTTATATATTGTGACATATCATAGACTCATAGTAACACAGCAAACACCTTTCACCTTTCCAATTACTAGCTAGTACTTATAATATTCTGTGAACATACTAGTATATGTTTTTTGAAACTTAAGAGTAGGTTGGCTTCTCCAGATCCTCGCGATCGCGAAAGAAGACCATCTGTTCCAAGACAGAGTCTACAGGATAACCAGGGTCACCGCAGATAATATGATGAGTGGGTGGCCCAAATACCCCAGTTTGAGGATGAGGAGTCCAGTACTTGTCTGATCCCACCCCGATTATTTCATCAGGTACCGACGAAATATATTCCTCCGGATTCTTGTCATACACTGATATGTGTACCGCCCTCCTGCACCAACTACACCAGCCATTCAATTCAAGATTAATAAAATGCCGAATAGCTAGTACTAATTCACTACAAAAATATTGGTATATATAGCTCGTCTATAACAACAACAACAACAACACGCAAGAAAGAATAAAAGGATATATAAAAGAACTAAGCAAAGACATACATATGTACAAAATTATACCAGGCAGAAAGGGTAGATGAGTTAGCAGAAGTTGCACCGCTGAATTGGTTCAGAACTCGCTTCCCCAAGCTCACAAGTCCACGGTTCTGTAAAGTGGTGGCCATATAATTAATATAGTTTTCTTTGAAGAAGCAAATGAGTTTTCTAACAATCTCTCTTACACAGTAAGCAAATGAGTTAAGAAGAAGAGCAAAGCGCAATGTGATGATCATAAGCTATACATCTGTTTCCCTATTTATAGAGTAAAACACCACAGAGAGTAGAGTATAAATAAAAACGTACGTATTAGATTCTGTGTATGCACCAAACCGTGTTAATTTAGCAGATGAATGACGTGTTTTCATATTGATACTTCTTTCGATTTAATTCTGCACTTCCTAAATCACTTGACAAAGGTAAAATAATAATAATAATAATAATAATAATAATAATAATAGGGATAATGCATAAAATCCTCCCCGACATATGACCATATTACTAACTATACACCTTTTCTTTTAGGGGGTCGTATTACCCCCCTGAACTATTTTAAAGTAAAATTATTTACCCCTTAAAAAGCTACAACCAGATGCGTGCAAAGAGGTGAAATACACACGCCTAAAATGTGTATTTCTTACTTAAAAACTTTTTTTCACCGTTTTCTCATTCTTTTTTATTTTCCTATCTACAGACCTTCATTACCATATCCAGCCAAAAGGCAAAAGCCTCATTTGATGAGTTTTATATAATACTTGTTTGATAGTGTCAGAAACGAAACTTCGACAAAGACCTTTGCTCCAACAAAACTCCATTGTTGTTGACCGTTTTGACTGTTCGTAGGTTCTTACTAAATCATGCTCGTTGCTCCCTCTAGTTGTAGTTCTGTTTCTGTTATTAAACATATCTGCTTTTAATTTTTGGCGTTATATTGGATTTTCGCTCCGACATTTTGCCGTTGAAACGATGTCCCCCTTGTTCGTGCGAGAAGAGAATTTTGAAGACGAAGGAGACTAATTAGATGTAATTAATTATGTAATGTCCAATCAAAAGATGACGCTTGTACCTGTTAATCAATTTTAAAATTAGTTTTATAACTTCCACTTGCCCTTAAGAGAGTGTGCACACTCTCTATGCCACGTCAGCATTTAGGGTGGTATTTATTACACTTTAAAATAGTTTTGGGAGGTAATAGGACCACGAAAAAGAAAATGTGTATAGTTGATAATATGGTCATAGGCCGGGGAAATTTTATGCATTATCCCATAATAATAATAATAATAATAATAATAATAATAATAATAATAATAATAATAATAATAATAATAATCGACTTTTACCTAGTACAGAAATTTATTTCCATCACGGCATTGTTTCTTCCTTGGTCCACAGTTACCAAGTTGGATTGTCCGTTTATCTAACGCAATATCCATGTTTAATCATTTTTATTAATGGTACACAGCAGAGTATTAAATCTAACACAGGGATAACCAAAAGTAGCAATAAAAATAGTAATAATTCTTTTCGAGAATAATTTATTACTCCATCCGACTCATATTATTTGTCGTAATTTTTGAAACAGTTGTCTCAGATTATTTGTCATTTTAGAAGTTTAAAACAAAATTAATTATTATTTTTCCATTTCACCCTTAATAGTAATTGTTCTTGAAGATGGAGATAGCACATAAATAGAGTAAAAATTCAATAAAGGAAGATTATATATATCTTAAGAATAAATAAGGGTAAAATAGTTCAAAATTCATTTTAATTAATATTTTCTTAAGGGCCGTATAAAAAAAAAACACGACAAACGGAGGGAGTACTAATATTGATCACTAATGGAAATTAAAGTCGTCCATAATCTCCTTGTACATTCAGTAATTACATGTTGGTTCCATTGAATGTGTCTTTATATTCAGTCACACAGAGTAGGTGATATTTGACGCTTTGTCCATTGACGTCTTCCCCTAATATTCGCGGTTTTAATTATTTCAATGGGGTAAACTAAATTGAGGAAACATAACTCAAGATTCATATTCATATGGGTTAACATAACAACAAACCTGGTAGTTTCTCACGAGTGGGTCTGGGGAGGGTAAGATGTAGATAGCCTTACCCCTATCATTGAGAGGGCAGAGAGGCTGTTTCCGATAGACCCTCGGCTAGAGAACGACTGAAAAAGAAAAGGTAATTGCAACAAGTGGGAATAACAACAAGATGAAATAAGATCAAATCCAAGAATGCAGTCAAACTCTAGGTAGTAATAGCCATCTATGAATAAAAGATATCATACTAACACTAATGCTAGCGAACTGAGTAAGACAAAGAGAAACGTCCGACTACCTACGAACCTTCTACCCTAATCTTTGACCTCCACACCCACCTATCTAGGGCCATGTCCTCAGTCAGCTCCAGCTGCGCCATGTCCCGCCTAATAAGTTCTCCCCAAGACTTCTTAGGCCTAATACCTCTACCCCTCCTGCTGCCCACCAAAGCTAATCGCTCGCACCACATGGGTTAAGTTAAAAAAATTAAAAAGAGTTTGGCTTATATACACTATATGTTTAGGTTAATTTTACACATCAAGCCATCTTTAACCTTACGTACTCAAATCGCTGCTCTTCAAGACTTCAACATGTTTAGTTGTGCAAACCGTCTAATGTAAAAAAAATTAGACATCATAGTAGCACTTTTGGTCCCTCAATTATTGGTAAATCTGATTTTGGTCCTTGTGATATATTAATCACCATGTTTAATCTTCGATTAATTAAAATGTGTTTTTTTGTCCCTTTACGTAGGAAATGTACTATTCGGACTATATTAGAACTAGTAGATTTGTAAATACTCACAAGCAACTGGATCAAAAATGCACATTTCGATTAATTTAAGGTTAAATGTGCTTAGCATAATATCACAAGGACTACAATAAAACTTTACCAATAATGGAGGGACCAAAAGTGCTATTAACCCTTATTTAATTAATTATAGTTTTTAGTTTTAATCTAATTTATTTCGTACTTCAATGAGAAAATGGGTCAAATTCTACAGGATCAAACCTATGGGACTTAAGGAATGATATAAAAAAAAAAAAGGGAAAATATTCATATTAAATAAATATGAAGTAGAAGAACCCAGATTCCAAATGAACAAATTCAAACATGAAAAGGATCTTCCTTATTCTTGAAGAATAAGGGGCAAAGGAATTGATCAAGAAAGATCTTTTGTTCTTCTTATATATAAGATCGTGATTGGATCCGCATATGTTTGGTAAAGAGAATAATCTTATCCTTTGAGAATAATAAAAAATGGACAGTGTTCAATTGGAACATGAAAACGTGACTAAATTGGTCCTAGTTACTCTTAGGGGCGGAGTGGAAGAAGGGGGGATTCTCGAATGCGGAAAGGATCCAATGAATTCGAAAGAATTGAACGAGGAGTCGTATGAGGTGAAAATCTCATGTACGGTTCTGTAGAGTGGCAGTAAGAGTGATCACTATCCCCCAAAAAACAAACTCTGCCTTACGTAAAGTTGCGAGAGTACGATTAACCTCTGGATTTGAAATCACTGCTTATATACCCGGTATTGGCCATAATTTGCAAGAACATTCTGTAGTCTTAGTAAGAGGAGGAAGGATGAAGGATTTGTTAAAAAAAATATAATATTTTTAATAACTCAAAAAGAATGAGTATTTTAATATTTTTAATATCTCAATGTTTATTAACATTGAATGGGTATGCAATCAGTTATATTTTTTGTTATTAAAATTGACCAAAAGGTTTTGACCGTTTGCAAACATTAAAAATGATAATAATTTCCTTTAATCTTGAATAGGCAATGATTATAATAGTTCTTCTTTGGAATTGAATTCTTGGATTTGAATTCTAAAGATCCGTTTTGGTTTCTTTCCGGTTTGGCATTGAATCTTTGGTATTAAATTTTCAACGTTTCTTTTATGGAAGATGTAACTTCTTTAGGCTATATATAAAGCTATTTGTTTGTGTTCATGGAAGTAGAGTGAAAATAGTAAAAACTTTTCTTCTTCTTTCTTTTGTGCTGGGTTTTCTACTTATAAATCTTTGTTGTTTCTGCTCCTAGTTATACTAGAAGAGCTTGTTAAATCCTGGGGGATACGCCTAATATTATTCATCTCGGTGTGGGCGAAATATCCTTAAGGACAGTGTCTTTGACACGCCTCAAGCTAAACCTTTTATTCTCCATAATCATCCAATTTTTCCAACAATCTTAAGGATATTTTGCGTCGTTATTATGGAGAATAACGCTGCTAATGTTGCTGTTGATGCTACTACACCTACTGCTCCAGCTGTTTCTGTTGCTGTTCCATCACCAATTACCTATGCCAAGCCTTTTCCTGATGTTTCGAAAATTGAGGTTTTTGGTGGAGATAATTTTAAGCGTTGGCAGGAACGGGTGCATTCTATTTTGGATATGCATG